GAGAGAGGACCCCATTGTGGCATCAGCCCCCCAACTCCTTGACACCTCCAAGTAGGACCCCATTGTGCCATCAGCCCCCCAACTTCTTGACACCCCCAAGCAGGACCCCATTGTGGCATCAGCCCCCCAACTCTTTGACACCCCTCAACAGGACCCATCTGTGGCATCAGCCCCCCAACTCCTTGACACCTCCAAGTAGGACCCCATTGTGCCATCAGCCCCCCAACTTCTTGACACCCCCAAGCAGGACCCCATTGTGGCATCAGCCCCCCAACTCCTCGTCACCCCTCGACAGGACCCAGCTGTGGCATCAGCCCCTCAACTCCTTGTCACCCCCAAGTAGGACCTCATTGTGGCATCAGCCCCTCAACTCCTTGACACCCCTCGACAGGCCAACTCCTCGTCACCCCTCGACAGGACCCAGCTGTGGCATCAGCCCCTCAACTCCTTGTCACCCCCAAGTAGGACCTCATTGTGGCATCAGCCCCTCAACTCCTTGACACCCCTCGACAGGACCCAGCTGTGGCATCAGCCCCTCAACTCCTTGTCACCCCCAAGTAGGACCTCATTGTGGCATCAGTCCAACTCCTTGACACCCCTCGACACGTCCTGACTGTCCCACAGCCACCCCCTCGCTTTTGTGGGGCATTTTCTTCTCAAACCCCCTTTCCCTCGGAAGGTGCTTCACCCCCCCCCGGGACACGAGAAGCCCCACTTACTCCAGGATCTCGTTGTACTCGATGGTCTCCTCCAGGTTCTGCAGGTTGGGGTTGACGCTGCGGATGGCGCGCATGTAGGCCTTCAGCAGCTGGATGTCCCGTTTCTAGGAGAAGCAGGAGGACACGGCGGGGTTTAGCGGAGAGGAACCAGACCCCGGTGAGGGGTGGACACCATCCCTGCCATCGGTACCACCAAACAGCAGCACAACCTCTGCTCTGGTGGCTCAACAACCTCTGGTGTCCTCAACCACGAAGCTGGTTTGGGGTTTAGTTGGTGCTAAATCATGTTTATATTAAGTTTAGGACTTTTTTGGGTTCCCATGGAAGCTGAGAGGGATCACGCAATCATGGAATGCTTTGGGTGGAAAGGGACCTTAAAGCTCACCTGGTTCCACCACACCAGGTTGCTCCAAGCCCCCTCCAACCTGGCCTTGAACCCCTCCAGGGTTGGGGCAGTCACAGCTTCTCTGGGCAACCTTCATCACCCTCAGGGGGAAGAATTTCCTCCCTGGATCTCACCTAAATCTCCTAATTTTTGGTCAAAAACTCTTCTCACTAATCCAATGGCTCCAGTTACCGAAACGCCGTCCCTGGAGGGATCTAAGGGTGCTGTTGGGTGGTGGTGGGTTGATGGTTGGGCTTGATGAGCTTCAAGGTCTCTTCCAACCCAGGAAAGTGGTGGAATCACTGTAGAAACCCAGAACATTTTGGGTTGGAAGGAACCTTAAAGCTCATCCAGTTCCATCCCTTCTAATGGAAGGGACACCTCCCACCAGCCCAGGTTGCCCAAAGCCCCCTCCAACCTGGTCTTGAACCCCTCCAGGGTTGGGGCAGTCACAGCTTCTCTGGGCAACCTTCATCACCCTCAGGGGGAAGAATTTCCTCCCTGGATCTCACCTAAATCTCCTCTTTTTCAGTGTCAAACCCTTCCTCCTCATCCCATCACTCCCCTCCTTGACATCCCACACCACAAGGACATCAGTGGAGGTAGGAATCCACCATCGTTGCTGAGAAACCCCTCACCAGGTGGTGAGCAATCGTATTCCATCACATTTCTGTATATTTTTTTACCATTATTAGCATTTTCTCTTCGTTATTCCATCAAACTGTCTTTATCCCAGCCCGGGATGGTGTTGTTTTCTCTTTTTCTCCTTGCCCCATCGCTGGGGGTGACACCGGGGGGGACCCCCAACTCATGGGGACCCACCTGCTCGGCCAACTGGTGCTTGTGCTCCGCCGAGGTCTTCTCCAGCTCAGCGATCCTCGTCTGCTGCTGCTGCACCACCGACCGCAAGTGCTTGATGCAGTTGTGGTTTGGCAGCTCGTCTTTGGGCATTTCCAAGCTGTTGACAGAGAAGAAGGTGGAGGAGAAGGAGAGGAGTTGGGGAAGAGTTACACACCAAAACACCCTCCAGAACAAACCCAGCCCCGGGGGGACCTGCTGAGAGACCAGGGAGCCCCAAACCGTAACCACCAGCTGGAGGAAGGGCTTTTCCTGCCACCTCTTGGGTTTCGGGGAGAGCTATGGGTCAGACCCCCCACCGGGTGGGCTGGTGATGGGGGTTTTCCTCCTCTAAAGTGGTGAGGGCTGAGAAGGAGCTCACAGGAGGCAGCACGAGGGCTGGATCCAGTCTCTGCCTTCCCCCGAGGAGACGTGACCCTCTCCAGTCACCACCCAGCGGGTGCTCTGAATTTCACTGAATTTCACTGAATTTTTAGAGTTGGAAGGGACCATAGAGATCATCTAGTCCAACTCCCCTGCCAAAGCAGGACCACCCAGAGCACGTTACTCAGGAGCATCCAGGTGGGTCTTGAAGATCTCCAGAGAAGGGGACTCCACACCCTCCCTGGGCAGCCTCTTCCAGGGCTCTGCCACCCTCACCGTGAAGAAGTTCTTCCTCATATTCAAGTGTTTCTAGTTGCCAAACGGCTGAAGATGAGCCACAGTGTGCCCAGGGGGGCAAGAAAGCCAATGGCATCCTGGCTTGTATCAAAAATAGTGTGAGCAGCAGAAGTAGGGAGGTGATTGTGCCCCTGTGCTCAGCACTGGGGAGGCCACAGCTCGAGTGTTGTGTCCAGTTTTGGGCACCTCAATCCAAGAGAGATCTGGAGGGGCTGGAGCGAGGGCAGAGGAGGGCAACGAAGCTGGTGAGGGGGCTGGAGAATAAAATCTTATGAAGAGTGATTGAAAGAGCTGGGACTGTTTAGTGTGAGGAAGAGGAGGCTGAGGGGAGACCTCATCACTCTCTACAACTCCGTGAAAGGACACTGTAGAGAGGTTGGTGCTGGTCTCTTCTCACAGGTCATTAGTGACAGAAGGAGAGGGAACGGCTTCAAGCTCCAACAGGGGAGGTTTAGATTGAACATTAGGAAGGAATTTTTCACCCAAAGAGTGGTCGGGCGTTGGAAGAGGCTGCCCAGGGAGGGGGTGGAGTCCCCATCCCTGGCTGTGTTGAAGGGCCGTTTAGATGCAGTGCTGAGGGACATGGTGTAGGGGAGGACTTTGTAGAGTAGGGGAGATGGTTGGACTCCATGATCCCAAGGGTCTCTTCCAACCTGGACCATTCTATGTTTCTAAGTGAAACCCTTTATGTCCCAACTTGTCCCCGTTGCCCCTCGTCCTCTCACTGGGAACCACTGAAAAGAGTCTGGTTCCCTCCTCCCTCAGCCCACCCTTGAGATACTTGTAGGCACCAGGAGCAGGAAGGACACGGCACTGGGAGCACCGGGGCCAGAGCAGCCACCCAGCAGCACGTAGGAGGGAGCAGAGCTTGTCCCAGGGGCTGGAATGGCTCTGGGTGGATTCCCAAAGGCCATCGTACCCCAACAGACACCCCAGCCCCAACCACGAGCCGAAGAGCCTTTGAACCAAGCTTCAAAATGAACGGGTTCCGGTCAAAATCCTTCCCAACCCTTCCTGCAGCACCACCACTGAGGCTTTCAAAGGCCCTGCTACCCCCTGAGCTCTGCACAGGGTCCCTTCCCCGAGCCCACAGAGCTCCCCCTCCTCCTCCTCCTCCTCATCCTCCTCATCCTCACCCGCAGCCCTGCTCGCAAGTCACGGGGCGCTTGGGATTGTGCTCGCAGTCGTTGAGGTGAGACATGAGGTTGTCGAGTCGCACGACGGCCGTGCAGCCGAAGACAGCGTTGTCGCAGGTGATCTGGAGCTTGGAGAGCATGTTCCGCATGATCCGCGGGACGGGGCGGAGGTGGGCGACCGTCACCACGCTGCGGTCCACGGGGCACGTCTGCTGCTGGGAGAACCACTGGGTGATGCAGGCATTGCAGAAGGCGTGCTCGCAGTGGGGAGCCTGCGGGGGGGACACACAGGAGGGGGGCATTCAATTGGAGCCAGTGGGCAAGTGTCTGTCAGCTTTGTGTGTTGGCAACCTCAACCAGAGGAGGCCTCACAGGCTTTGGGGGGCTTCCTTGGGGGAGGAAGGTGAAGGGAAGGCACCTTCCATGGCACAGCAAGGCCTTCTCCATTCTCCTGGTGCCCACCTTTCTATGGGCAACCTCGACCAGAGAAGGGCTCACAGGCCTTGGGGGGCTTCCTTGAGGGAGGAAGGTGAAGAGAAGGCACCTTCCATGGCACAGCAAGGCCTTCTCCCTTCCCCTGGTGCCCACCTTTCTCTGGGCCACCTTGACCAGAGGCTGGCTCACAGGCTTTGGGGGGCTTCCTTGGGGGAGGAAGGTGAAGGGAAAGGGCATCTCTGTCACCGAAGCAGGCACAACAGCTGGCACAGGGGAATGAGACGCTGAAAGCCAGACCTGGAAGGACCAGAGGCACCTTCCATGGCCCACAAGGCCTTCTCCCTTCTCCTGGTGCCCACCTTTCTCTGGGCAACCTCCACCAGAGGAGGGCTCACAGGCTTTGGGGGGCTTCCTTGAGGGAGGAAGGGGAAGGGAAGGGGCACCTCTGTCACCAAAGCGGGCACAACGGCTGGCACAGGGGAATCAGACACCAAAAGTTGGACCAGAGGCACCTTCCATGGCACAGCAAGGCCTTCTCCCGGTGCCCACCTTCCCCTGGGCAACCTCGACCAGAGGAGGGCTCACAGGCTTTGGGGGGGCTTCCTTGAGGGAGGAAGGTGAAGGGAAGGGGCACCTCTGTCACCAAAGTGGGAACAGGGGAATGAGATGCCAAAAACCAGACCTGGAAGGACCAGAGGCACCTTCCATGGCACAGCAAGGCCTTCTCCCTTCCCCTGGTGCCCACCTTTCTCTGGGCAACCTTGACCAGAGGATGGCTCACAGGCTTTGGGGGGCTTCCTTGGGGGAGGAAGGTGAAGGGAAGGGGCACCTCTGTCACCAAAGCAGGCACAGGGGAATGAGATGCTGAAAACCAGACCTGGAAGGACCAGAGGCACCTTCCATGGCCCACAAGGCCTTCTCCCTTCTCCTGGTGCCCACCTTTCTCTGGGCAACCTCCACCAGAGGAGGGCTCACAGGCTTTGGGGGGCTTCCTTGAGGGAGGAAGGGGAAGGGAAGGGGCACCTCTGTCACCAAAGCGGGCACAACGGCTGGCACAGGGGAATCAGACACCAAAAGTTGGACCAGAGGCACCTTCCATGGCACAGCAAGGCCTTCTCCCGGTGCCCACCTTCCCCTGGGCAACCTCGACCAGAGGAGGGCTCACAGGCTTTGGGGGGGCTTCCTTGAGGGAGGAAGGTGAAGGGAAGGGGCACCTCTGTCACCAAAGTGGGAACAGGGGAATGAGATGCCAAAAACCAGACCTGGAAGGACCAGAGGCACCTTCCATGGCACAGCAAGGCCTTCTCCCTTCCCCTGGTGCCCACCTTTCTCTGGGCAACCTTGACCAGAGGATGGCTCACAGGCTTTGGGGGGCTTCCTTGGGGGAGGAAGGTGAAGGGAAGGGGCACCTCTGTCACCAAAGCAGGCACAGGGGAATGAGATGCTGAAAACCAGACCTGGAAGGACCAGAGGCACCTTCCATGGCCCACAAGGCCTTCTCCCTTCTCCTGGTGCCCACCTTTCTCTGGGCAACCTCCACCAGAGGAGGGCTCACAGGCTTTGGGGGGCTTCCTTGAGGGAGGAAGGGGAAGGGAAGGGGCACCTCTGTCACCAAAGCGGGCACAACGGCTGGCACAGGGGAATCAGACACCAAAAGTTGGACCAGAGGCACCTTCCATGGCACAGCAAGGCCTTCTCCCGGTGCCCACCTTCCCCTGGGCAACCTCGACCAGAGGAGGGCTCACAGGCTTTGGGGGGGCTTCCTTGAGGGAGGAAGGTGAAGGGAAGGGGCACCTCTGTCACCAAAGTGGGAACAGGGGAATGAGATGCCAAAAACCAGACCTGGAAGGACCAGAGGCACCTTCCATGGCACAGCAAGGCCTTCTCCCTTCCCCTGGTGCCCACCTTTCTCTGGGCAACCTTGACCAGAGGATGGCTCACAGGCTTTGGGGGGCTTCCTTGGGGGAGGAAGGTGAAGGGAAGGGGCACCTCTGTCACCAAAGCAGGCACAGGGGAATGAGATGCTGAAAACCAGACCTGGAAGGACCAGAGGCACCTTCCATGGCCCACAAGGCCTTCTCCCTTCTCCTGGTGCCCACCTTTCTCTGGGCAACCTCCACCAGAGGAGGGCTCACAGGCTTTGGGGGGCTTCCTTGAGGGAGGAAGGGGAAGGGAAGGGGCACCTCTGTCACCAAAGCGGGCACAACGGCTGGCACAGGGGAATCAGACACCAAAAGTTGGACCAGAGGCACCTTCCATGGCACAGCAAGGCCTTCTCCCGGTGCCCACCTTCCCCTGGGCAACCTCGACCAGAGGAGGGCTCACAGGCTTTGGGGGGGCTTCCTTGAGGGAGGAAGGTGAAGGGAAGGGGCACCTCTGTCACCAAAGTGGGAACAGGGGAATGAGATGCCAAAAACCAGACCTGGAAGGACCAGAGGCACCTTCCATGGCACAGCAAGGCCTTCTCCCTTCCCCTGGTGCCCACCTTTCTCTGGGCAACCTTGACCAGAGGATGGCTCACAGGCTTTGGGGGGCTTCCTTGGGGGAGGAAGGTGAAGGGAAGGGGCACCTCTGTCACCAAAGCAGGCACAGGGGAATGAGATGCTGAAAACCAGACCTGGAAGGACCAGAGGCACCTTCCATGGCACAGCAAGGCCTTCTCCCTTCTCCTGGTGCCCACCTTTCTCTGGGCAACCTCCTGGGGGGTTGGTACCAACAGCCCTTCAAGCAGCTTGAAAAAAGCTTGAAAACAAGGGAGTTTGTGATATCGCCTTCTCAAAAGGAGATTTAAATAAACCTGCTTAAGAAAGCAGCAACTTCCCCCCCCCCCCCGC